ATGTGTTGCATAGGGTCAGAAAAATCAGATTTGATGCGCTTTCGCCTGCAGTGTGAACGTAGCCTTAGTTTCCTCGAACAGCCTTTGGCTTCCACACTTCTCCCTGCCTTCCATTAATGTCTCTCTCTCAGTTCCAGCGACAATGAGCAACAATATCTAACAGAAATGAGTCCACTGGTCACAAACAAGTATATACAGTCCCGCTCAAAAGTTGAAAAATGGCAACAGGAGGAAATGGGCATTAAGTTTATTAAAAACAAACTGAAACAGTGATCAACAATAACGGTGGAGCCATCATCATCATCATCACTGAGTTCATGTTTAGAACTTTGATTTCTGTTTTGGGGTTTTTCTGGGTGTAAAACAGCCAGTTTCAGTTTAAGGACTCTATATATACATATGTATATCTTTGCATAGTACAGTGACACTGATAATGAGCAAGCGTCCTGAGCTTAACCAGCTAGCCACGATGTTAGGTAGCAAAACTTCACACAGACGATATAAAAACATATCCATCAGCAGTCGCTCAGTATCAATGAAGTCCTGTTGTGAACCTTAGCCTGAGCATTTTCACTGCCTTCATCTTAACTTTTGAAACCAGAAGCTACGCGTGGCCGACCTGACCGTGAAATCGAGGAGCGCTGCACACTAGGCTAGCCTCCAGGCTTACCCTGAGTCACTGGACTTTACTTTCTGACTCTGAGAAGGACCATAGGACCAACAAATTTCCCACGTGTGGGACTAATAAAGGTTATCTTATCTTATAGTGTTATAGTCATCAAGACTTGTTGGTAGCAGCTGAGTCCATATAGTTAGCAGGAGAATACATTTGATGGTGTTAGAGCAAGAGAACAGAGAAGACTTCATTATAACATGTATGTAACCACAGGGGCGCCTCTGCTGGCCGTGAGAGGTAATACAGGTTTAAGGCACTTCCACAATGTGTGTTCACACCATAATAAACACCTGGGCTGGTTAGCGAGCTAACTGTAGCGTAGCTGTGCAACGTGCATCTGGCAAATCTGGTGCCAACATACTGACATACTGGTACACAGCTTATACACAGGCTGCAATACAAATGTACTTTCAATACTGCGATGCTTTACTGTTCTGGCTCGTGCTGGGCTTGCACACAGATGGAGAGCGTCTCATCTCGTATCGTTTTGCAGGACCTTTTGTAACGTTTTTGTATAGTTTAGCCATAAAATAAATATGAAGACATAATTCTGTAACTGGGTGATTTTGCTTGAAAGGTGACTGAGATGATTAAAACATGAGCCATCAGCTGATTAACTGGTTCAATGACTAATCGTCTGAGCTGCACTTCAGTGAATAAGCAAGTAATCAGCTTGTTATATGCAGCAGGCTGTAGCCTCCTTTCACAGGAGCAGCATCCACACTTCTCATTAGCACCATTAGTAACACCGTCACCAGCATGTGACAGTTTATGTTATACTTTAATCACAGAGCATGTGATGCTGTTAAAGAATAAGGCAAAGCAGTTCTTACAGTATGAGAATGTTTTGTAATGCTATGATGACTTTTGTGGGTCTGAGAAAAATCTACCATGTGAACTTTGACCTCAGCGATTTGATTCATCCTCCTTTTTGCCGTAACACACAGAAGTGTACGTGGCACACTGACCCCTATTGTCCTTCCCCAGTCGACCTATGGCAGACGTTCGAGGTGGACTCCCTGGAGCATCTGGAAGCACTTGAGTTGGTGACGGCGCGGCTGGAGCGCAAGGTCAGCCTCTGCAAGGCCAACGTCATGATGGTCACCTGCTTTGATGGTGTCGCCGGGAGACGGCGTAAGAAGAGACGGCGAAAAACGGCAGATCATAGATTCACAAAGAGATACTGACCTACTGACCTACTGACCTACTGGCTGAAATATGTTTCTTTTAGACTCTTATGTAGAACTTGTTGATTATCAGTGAAGTTCTCGACACTCGAGACACAGAGGTGAGATCACCTCGTGTACACACTTGTTATGTTGTGAAGTAGCACACTGCCTCCCCTGGTGGGAATTCATTTTAGACGTTCAAAAAAATCCAACTAACCTTTACTTCCTGTTTTCCAGACAGTAGTTGCAGTTAAATAACCTATAAAGATGTGTGTTTATGCACTTTTTTAGCATTTGGCAGTATATTTAAAGCCATCACGTTCAAACAGCATCTAATGCTGAAATGTTTCGGTGCTAACGAGCTCGGTACCACAAACCTGCTGAGTCCAATGTTGGACAGTGGGAGGGACCGTCATGTGGAACGAAACAGAAGCAGTCCAAAGTCTGCCATGGTTAGCTTCTCAAAGAAACGGCGTCTGATAAAAACACTACACAACAACTCAAACCTGACAAAATGTGTTCTGGTTCTGGAAAGGCTCTGCGACGGTACAAATGAGGGATTCGATCCTGGTTCTCTGGGAAGTCTTTAGGCTCAGCAATATCCTTTATGTGAACACAATCTACACATCTGTGCAAGAGGCAACTACAGCTCCAAATGAAGCACTTTTGTAGAAACTTTGTAGAAACTGTGATAAGTGGACGATCCAAATTGTGCTTTTCTTAAAGCCATTTTCACACAAAGCTTTATTCCAATTGTCTTTGTCTATCGCACGCTTTGACATGCTGACTGGAGTCAAGGATCCAATGATCGTCCGATTATCAGCCTCTCTACCTCCTGAGCCACGGCTGGTCCACTGGATGCAAACATTTACCTCAAACTGTCCAACAAACAGAGCAAAACGAGGGAAATGCAACGTGACGATTATGTTCTTCAAGTTTGCTGTTCTTCTTTGATTGGTCAAACCAATCATGTACTTGTAGCCATCGTAGAGCAGAAGGCGGTGCAGCTTTCACAAAAAGGGAATATCATGCCACCAATGATGCCATTGTGTAAATAGATTTTGGTGCTAAAACTACAAAAGTGGTGCATTTCCTTATTTGTAACTAGTGTAAATAGGTAAATGTTTAGCAGGGATCTCAGTGAACTGTTGAATGAGCCATGAGGGAACAACGGTAGTGTTTGTGAAAGTTACACCAACAGAGAGGTCATGCTTTCTCTCAGGTCGGTGATCAATACACTGACTGTAAAACACATTAGTAAGTGATTGGAAGTAGAATAAAAGAATGCAGATTCTACTGACAGTGTAATGGAGGCGTAATTACTTTAAAGGAATAACGTCATGGTGTCTGCAGAGCCCTGTGGCTCCGAGCCACGGCCCAAAGTGATCGGTGAGCAGTGCTGGGATGTCGACCTGGATCGATTTGTTTAAATATACGGGAAAGAGTCGCACACGCGCACACGCTGGATGTTTGTTGTTGTGAATCATATTAATTAGCATGTTGTTGTCACTGTGAATAAATGAGCACAGCACTCCATTACGTTTCATGTGTGCAAAGACTCTGCATCCTTTGATTTGCAACAATTAAAAGTGCTGTGCTGTTCCTGCTGCCAGCACATCTGGGATCCTGTCCGCACTGGTCACCAGAGCCTGTTTTATGTGTGTGTGTGTGTGTGCA